CCTTGTGACAAGACCTTTCTTTGGGTACCACCAAATTTGACCTTGGAGTTTGACCCACAAAAATTCCAAACTTTTACTTTGGCCATATCTTTTAAACAATAGACACCAGGACATTTATACTTCACATATGTATTCTTTGTGGTAAGACATTTCATTGGATACCAACAACCTTGACCTTTTGACCTTGACCTTGGAGACTTTTATACTTGTGAAAAAACTTTAGCATTGGCCATAAATTTTGAATGGTAAAGGATAGGGCTTTCATACTTCACATTTGTAATCATTATGAAAAGACCCTTATTGGATACCAAGAACTTTGACCCTTTGACCTTGACTTTGGATATTGACCTAATTTGAAAAAGCAAACCTTGACCATAACTTTTAAAGGGTTATGGCTAATGCTTTTGTATATTGCATATTTAATTCTTGTGACAAAGCCTTTCATTTGATAGCAAGACTTTTGACCCTTTGACCTTGACCTTTGAGTTTGACCTACTTTAAAAAAATTAATCTTGGCCATAACTTCTAAACGGTTAGGGCTAGGGCTTCCATATTTTACATATGTATTCTATGTGAAAGACCTTTCATTGAATATCAATTACTTTGACCTTTTGACCTTGGAGATTTTGTACTTATGAAAAAACTTTAACCTTGGCAAAAAACTTTTGAACGCTAAGGGCTTGTGATCTCATACTTCAATTATGTAATCCTTCTGAGAAGACCCTTCATTGGATACCAAGAACTTTGAACCTTTGACCTTGACCTTGAAGTTTGACCTACTTTAAAAAAAACCTTGACCATTCCTTTTAAAGGATTAGCGCTAGTGCTTTCATACTTTACATACTTAATCCTGTGACAAGAACTTTCATTTGATTGCAAGACCTAATGACCTTGACCTTGGAGTTTGACCTACTTTTTAAAATTTTAACCTTGGCCATAACTTCTGAACGGTTAGGGCTAGAGCTTCCATAATGTACATATGTATTTTTTGTGGTAAGACCTTTCATTGGATACCTATGACCTTGAAGATTTTTGTACTTATGAAAATTTTTTAACCTTGGCCTACTTTCATATTTCACAATTGTATTTCCAATGAGAATATTCTACTTTTGGTACCAATTATGTCCAATATATTAAATTTGCATCAAAGAAAATTTTAATCTTTGCTATGTTGCCATACGGGGCATCAGTGTTTCACAAATACATCTTTTTTTTTAAGTTTCCGTTATTCACTTACATAGAGATACCATTTCAATCATTTTAAATACTAAGGACCCGAAAACATTTCCTTTCCTACCAAACATTTATGACTTGTACATTTCTGTAAGAGTGAATTCAGAATCAAAACACTTGATTTTAGTCCAGTGCGCCGCCTATGTCAACGCAGCCACAATTTTTCAAAAAGTCGGATTTCAACCTGATGTATATAAAACGTTATAAAATTAATATTTGAGAAAGCTTAAATACTGTATAGGGGGAAAATAACTCGCGGTGTTAATATTCGCTATATTCAGGGTGTTAATAAATCCGTGAATTCAAGAAACAGTGAATAATTTTTTAAAATAATCTCTCTTTTTTATTTTGAAATTTAGGAATAGACTACGATAGGTTTATACACATGTACCGTCAGTACATGGTCATTTCAGTAATTACGAGTAGTACTTATCATTCAATTATTATAGTTATTACGCTTTACTTTAATTAAAATGGGCAGATAATAATTTGTGTTTGTTCCAAAGCTGTTTTAATAGCCAACTCTATATGTTTCATCAATCAAAACACGTGGGTCATGGGTTTTGATAACCCGTGCGTAACTAATTTGTTACCACGTGTATTTGTTACCTGCATAATCATGCATTTTTGATTTTATTTAGATTTTGGTTTTAATAAGAAATCATTCAAATAAATATCAAACTTACTGAAGATGTGGAGGATATTAATTCGTCGAACTACATAAACACATTTATTTCCGTCCAGTGGTTTTTCGCCGCGTTAATTGTATTGAAGATCTTGGGTGCACATGCACTCATCGTAATAGTATCTATAGGAAAGTCATTTGACGTTTAGAGTGAAAAACTTTCAATACCTGCCCTTGTTTAATAATTAATTATTTATTAAATCCAACAATTTTATATTTACCTACCCTGTTGAAATAAAGATATGACGCTGATGAATTTCGTTTACATGAAGCTATATAGACAAGGGAGGTAACTTTTATTACATATTTGAATTCAAGAAAAAAAAGAGAAAAACGCGAAAATTACAACCCGTGAAATTAATCCCCTATACAGTACCAAAATTTGAGGAAATATGGTTTATATTACATTATTCAGAATTTTCATTTGCATTAAAAAAAATACAGAGTAGTAATTACTTTTCCGTAGGATTTTAAATGTAATATACAAATTTTAATTGCAACTTTCAGGTACAGCGCTGCCTTCCTACACAAGAGAATGAAATGTATCGTTTAAATAGGGCTAATTTATGTAGTTATTTGCTATTTGTTTATGAATTTATTAGAAAGTGTTGGTTTAATCTATGTAAGAAGTTTCCTTAATATATGACATTGGGTTCCTACAAAACAACGCTTGTCTTCTGAATTTTGGAACAACCCTCATAAATGTCAGATTGAAAAGTAAATTAGGAAGTGCACAACTGCATTATGTAAAAAAGAATCTGTGAAAGTATCATTATACCCCAGCTCTGAATGAGAAATGGGTATACTGTTTTACCCTTGCGTGTTTTTCCGTCAGTCTGTGTGTCTGTAACAAATTTTTGATCACAGTTTTCTCAACAACTACTCATTGCAGGTGCTTGTAATTTTAGTGCATTCTTTGCTGGGGCATGCCATATAGTGGGATACATTTTCGTTCAAATCCGATTTCAACTTCCTGTTTATGACCATGCATCTAGCTGTACCATACATAACAAATTTTTGTCACAATTTTCTTAGCAACTACTCATTGCAGAGGCACTTTCTTTGCTTAGGCATGCCATATGGTGGGATACATTTTTAGCTCACCTGAGCCGAAGGCTATCTGTCTCTCCATACGTCCACCTGGGTCCGCCGTCATAAAACTTTGAGAATTCTCAAAAACATTCTCAACTCAAGTCTTGAGAATTACCCAGCTGAGAATATTTGAGAATAAAACAGGGTTTAAGGAATTTTTATTTTTCTCAACTTTTTATGACGGCCGCTGAGTCTGAGAATTTTGGATTTGAGAAAATTCTCAGACTTGAGAGCATTCTCAGACTTAAGTATGTTTTATAACGGCGGACCCTGTTAACTTTTCATAATTTTGACTTCTTCTCAAGAACCACTGGGCCAATTTTAACCAAACTAATGGTACAAAGCGTTCATAGTTAAAGGGGAGTTTAAATTGTAAAAATGAAGGGCAAAGACCCCTCATAAGGAGAGATAATTAAGAAAAGACAAAAATAGGGTGGGGTCATTAAAAATCTTCTTCTCAAGAACCACTGGGCAAGAAAAGCTGAAACTTATGTGGAAGCATCCTTGGGTAGTGTAGATTTTAAATTGTTTAAATCATGACCCCAGGGATTGGCGGGGCCACAATAGGGAATCCAAGTTTTACATAAAAATATATAGGAAAAATCTTATAAAGTCTTCTTCTCAAGAACCACTGAGCCAGGAAAACTGAAACTTATGTGGAAGCATCCTAGGGTAGTGTAAATTCTAAATTGTTAAAATCATGACCCCTAGGGGTAGGGTGGGGCCACAATAGGGAATCCCAAGTTTTACTTAGAAATATATAGGAAAAAATCTTAAAAACTCTTCTTCTCAAGGAGCATTGGGCTAGAAAAGCTGAAACTTATGTGGAAGCATTTTAGGGTAGTGAAGATTGTAAATTGTCAAAATCATGGCCCCCGGGGGTAGGACAGGGCCATAATAGGGAATCCAATTTTTACATAGAAATATATAGGAAAAATCTTTTAAAATCTTCTTCTCAAGAACCACTGGGACAGGAAAGCTTATGTGGAAGCATCCTTGGGTAGTGTAGATTCTAGAGTATATGTGGAAGCATCCTTGGGTAGTGTAGATTCTATAGTATAAAAAATCATGACAGGGGAGGGGGTAGGGGGCCCCAATAGGTATAACAAGAGATGAGACTGGTAAAGAACTGCATCACTCAAGTTACTCAGTTGAGCGATGTGGCCCATGGGCCTCTTGTTTTATATCCCACAGTTCAGTGCAGTTGTGACATCACAATGGTTTCTGCATATAGCGTGATGAAGTAAAATTAAGTGGAGTCCAATATAGAAACAGTGTAAAACATTGGTTATGAAGTATTTAACATGGGATAAAAAGAATCTCCCATGATTTGCAGTTTGATATGATATTTATCCAACTTGTGTGTTTTTATCCCCTTACCAAGGCTTGGGGATTAAAAAAAAACACTAAACTTGTTGGATAAAATTCATATCCATCCACAGATCATGGGAGATCCTATATTTATCTGTGCATCTTCCTGTAACTGAACTTGTGTATATTAACATAATAGTGTATATTCACATCAGAGCTGGGGTATTACTAGTGAGCATTGGCTCACAGACTTCTTGTTAAATTTTATTCGGTGATGAGTGGTACAGGAGGAGTTGAAGATATAATAAAAATTGATGCTTCAATATCATAGAAAGAATGGCAGTGTCCATGTTTTGCTATGGACAACTCAAAATGTGTCTGATCAAAAAGTAAAGTAGGAGGTCATTATATAAATGGCTTTATACATGCATAACAAAGATTTTGTGAGTCTCTTTTAATTTCATTCAATGGTATAAGAGGAGTTGTGGATAAGAGATGGGTACCCCAAAGTGTAACAGACTGATGGTAAAGACAAACATCCTGATCACTTTATACCCTCCCACTTTTCAAGAGGGGGTGTATAATAAGTTGAAGGCTGTTTGTTTTACATTATTGTGGAAAATTTATTGTCATTACTTTAATATAATCTTATTGTCAAAATCTTTATTTGACAGAAATTTGTACCTACAGAGACAAAAGTTGAATTTATCAACAAATTATCTGAAGCACAGCTTCCTGTAATTGAAGTTACAAGTTTTGTATCTCCAAAATGGATTCCACAGGTATTTTCTCTACTTCATTAATTTTTTAATGAGCTCAACTGAGCTTAAAGTTCAAGTGATCACATTTTTTCTGATGTTTCTGTCTCCCTCTGTAAATATTTGATGCTTTTGACTTCATCTTCAAACTAGTGCGGTGTGATATTAACGGTTAACTGGTGTATCCGATATATTCACAATACCCATTGCTGTATTTTTTTAGCTCTACTGGTCAGACCAAAAGAGCTTATGCGATAGAAATGTGTCCATCTGTCTGTCTGTCTGTCTAGCTTTATGACTGTCTGTCTGTCTGTAAACAATTTTTCAAAATGCTACTCCTCATACAGTTTTGGTCTGATTTCAATATAACTTGGCACACAAGTAGATTACTTTAAGATTCATAATTTTTCATATTGTTTTTGATTTCAATGAATGGTGTTGCCATGGTTACAAAAAATAGAAATTTCTATGAAATACTTTCAAAATGCTATCCCTCGGCTCCTACAGTTTTGGTCTGATTTCAATATAACTTGGCACACAAGTAGACTACACTAAAATACATAATTCTGTTTGTCCATTTTTAGGTCACCTGAGTAAACTCAGGTGACCTATTGCTATCTGTTTTCGTCCGTCGTTGTGTGTTAACATTTGAACATTTTTAGCTCTTCTGAGCCAAAGGCTCAAAGAGCTAATGCTATGGCCATTTGTGCGATGTGCGGTGTGCGTCGTGCAGTGTGCGGTGTGCGTTAACTTTTTATATGCCCGTCTTAAGACGGGACGTATTATGTTATAGGCTTCATGTCCGTCCGTCCGTCTGTCCAATCGTGTCCGGCTCATAACTTCAATACTATTAGGCCTAGGATTATCAAACTTTGTCAACTGATACTTCTTGGGTAGACGGTGTGTCGCGCACAAAAAGTAGGTCGCTCTGACCTTTAATAAATATGCTATGGCCAAATATGGAAAAATCCTGTCCGGCTCATAACTAGAAAAATATTAGACCTAGAGCTATCAAACTTGGCAAAAGTATACATCTTAGGTAGAAGGTGTGTCGCGACCTATTTCAAGGTCACTGTGACCTTTAATTTTAGTGAAATTTTTTTAAAAACTAAGTTTTTTAAATTTTAAATTTCATAATCCTAAAAATGTAAAAAATAGAGTTGTATCCTTACTAAAAAGTATTAAATCAAGTAAAAACTTATTTTTTTTATCATATACTTTACAGCAATCTTAAACAAATTTCAATGTTAATGAGAGGAATTCAGTTTGTCCCATGGGCATAATTATCAAGCACTCAAGAAGAATTTTGATAGCAGAAAGTTGCATGTCAAATTAGAGAGAAATTAATGAGTTTAGTGTGAGGAGGTAACTAGTAGAGCATTGCTGTTATCTATATCCCTCGGGTATTGGGCAAATGGACAGCCGATTAAAAATAGCTCTTGTTGGCTAGCCTAAGTTTTAAAATGAATTTTATGAAAAGTAATTAAAACTTATTTGATATTGCATAATAAACTAATAATCTGATATTATATAATATTAATTAATTAAAAACTAATTTTTTGGAGTGGTGTTGAATCAGCATGCCTACTTGTCCATATGTATTAAATATAAAACTTGTCTGGCATTACATCTAAAAAGAAATCATGGAGTATTTTATATGTTTTAAAAGTGTTTTAGGATAAAAAGTGCAGATCAATTAATATTAAGGGAGTAATGAGTAGACAAGCATCCAGTCAAAAATTAATTAATGAGTTCAATGTAGGAAGGCTATCTGATCAAGCGCTGCCTTATCTGTATCCTTTGGGGATTAGACAGAAGAACTGCTGGTCAGTTTATAGCATATATCATTTGATGGCCAGCCTTTCTTTTCAAAATTGATTTGGCATAGATTAAGTTGTTAAGACTAATTTGATATTGTTTATTATGATGGCCGGCATTTGACAAAGTCTAACACAAATAGTATAGAAATCTATCAGTTATGTAATATTTGTTATAATTATGCCTACAGCACAGGGGATGGGTAAAGAAATATTTTTTTAAAAAAATGGAAAAATCATTGAAATCTTAGAATCAAGGTTGACATGATTTTCTTGCACTCTAAACTGTTAAAGATAATTGTGTAATTTTTTGACGGGCGTATCATGCTGTGGCGTGGCAATTTATTAGAATATGGGCCATAACTCAAGAATCCCTTGGCCAATCATTGTCAAATTTGTTACAGGGTATCCTTGGCCCAAGGGCTACCATTTATACTAAAACTAGGGTTTGGACCCTAAAACAAGGGGAGATAATCAGGAAAATAGAACCAAAAGTACTAGTTGCTAAAAAATCTTCTTCTCCAGAACCACCAGGCAGATTTTCACCAAACTTACAAACAAGGTTCAGGATATGTTGAAGATTAAAAGTTGTTCAAGGCATGACCCTGGGGCAAAGGATGTGGTCTCAAGGTCACTTCAAAGTTAACCAAAATTTACATTTAATAAAACGTTTATATTTTGCTTACTATAAAGACTAGGATCATCAAATCTTGTAAGTTGATGCATCTTAGGACTTCACATCGTGTTAACACAAAAGTAGGTCACCGTGACCTACTTTTTAAATTTTATGGGCTTTTGTTTCCAAATTGATTTGGAGGCATATTTTGGACACGTTAAGGCCTATGATCGTCAAACGTTGTCAGTTGATGCATCTTGAGTCCTTAAACAAGGTCAACTTAAAAGTAGGTCACCGTGACCTACTTTTTAATTCTTCTGAGCCAAAGGCTCAAAGAGCTAATGCTATGGCCATTTGTGCGTCGTGCGGTGTGCGGTGTGCGTTAACTTTTTAGAAAATGGGCCATAACTCAAGAACGCCTTGGCCAATCAGTGTCAAATTTGTCACAGGGTATCCTTGGCCCAAGGGCTACCATTTATACTAAAATAAGGGTTGGGACCCTTAAACAAGGGGAGATAATCAGGAAAACAAAACCAAAAGTACTGGTTGCTAAAAAATCTTCTTCTCCAGAACCACCAGGCAGATTTTCACCAAACTTACACACAAGGATCAGAATATGTTGAAGATTAAAAATTGTTCAAGGCATGACCCTGGGGCAAAGGGCGTGGTTTCAAGGTCACTTCAAAGTTGACCTAAATTTACAATTGATAAAAACGTTTATATTTTGCTTACTATAAAGACTAGGATCATCAAATCTTGTAAGTTGATGCATCTTAAGACTTCACATCATGTTAAATCAAAAGTAGGTCACAGTGACCTACTTTTTAAATTTTGCGGGCATTTGTTTTCAAATTGATTTTAAGGCATATTTTGGACACTTTAAGGCCTATGATCATCAAACTTTGTTAGTTTGTCAACTTAAAATAGGTCACCTTGACCTACTTTTTGAACTTTATGACTTATCCTTTTTGAAAATTTAATCCCATTATTGCAGACACTGAGAGGGTTAGAATCATCAAATCGACCTTAAAACATATTTATGAAAAAGTGGGTGACTGTTAAAAGTAGGTCACCTTGACCTACGATCATCAAACTTGGTCAGCAGATGCATCTTGGGACTTTATGACTTATCCTTTTTGAAAATTTAATCCCATTATTGCAGACACTTTGTGAGTTGATGCAGAGGGTAGGTCACGGTGACCTATGACATTTTATCAAATCTTGTAAATTCAAACTTTGTGAGTTGATGCATCATCAAAAAGTAGGTCATGGTGACCTTACATTTTAACAGGTATTTATAATGAAAAAGTGTCATGGTGACCTGTGGAATACATATTGGCTGAGAATCATCAAACTTTTTGAATTACTAAAAATTAGGTCACATTGACCTACTTTTAACATTTTATGGCATATGTTTTCAAACTTTGTCAGTTGATGCATTTTGTTTAAAAGGCATATTTTGATCTCACATACTTATTGGCTTAGATCCTATTACGATCATCAAACTTATGGTTTTTTTTTATAGCTTTATTAAAATATCTTCAGTTATAATTGGCTAAGAATCATCAAACTTTGAGTTGATGCAATCTTGGGACTTTGAAAATTGTTGACTAAAATGTAGGATTTTCTCGTATTCAAAATATGGAGAAAATGTGATGGGAGTATTTGGACTCTTTTTCCGTATTCTCTGATTTCCGCATTTCCATATATTATGGTATTTATTTTTATTTAAGTATCGGAGTTAATCACATGGTTATAAAATGGCTAATAAAATTGATGCATACATACATAAATATTTACAAAACCATCAACAATGTGCAAAATTATATACAATTTATTATATCATTATGAGAAAAAAACATATAAATGAATGAACAAAATTACACATTATGTTCATGAGCAATGTTGATCTTATATCTTTGACAAACAAATAGGAGCATGTATGGGAACTCTTATTTAAGCCACAAGTTCATCATGCAAAAAATGTGGCATTTTTTAATATTCATATTAAATAAATGGAAATTTACATTCTATTTAAGCAAAAGTGGGAGTGAAATGTTCAACACTATTAGATATTGGGGAAAAAATAACAATTGACATAGCATTGAATATTTACAAAACAAGAAAAATTTTTAGACATTTTTTATCAATCTGGATCACATTTGCCATTTTCTACCTGCATCCCTGATTCATATTTCTCACAATTCAATTTATATCTCAGGTCTGTGCTTTACACCCATTTCCAATAAAAAAGACTTCTTTGTAATTTGTAAGGTCTCTGCATGTTTAATTTCTTGCAGCAACTTTGTGCAAATCCTATCAATAAAAAAAAAAGTACTTAAATTATAATGGTGCAATATTAATAAAATTTAAATTCATTGCTTTTATTCCTTTTAAAATCTTTTTATAAACACAAGTTTGGGTTCTTCAATTTAATATCAATTTGTTTAAAATATTATTTATAATAATGACAATCATAGTTGACTGTTTTTAATTATTAAACAAGCAATAAAAAAAGAAAAAAAAGAATATATACCTCAAACATAACCATCCATGGACCAAGTAAGCCCGTTAAAATCGCAGTAAGTTGA